GGGAGGGATGGAGGATGAGGAGGAGGAGGAGGAGGAGGAGGAGGAAGAGGAAGAGTAGGGAGAAGGAGGGAGGATGGAGGAGGAGGAGGAGGAGGAAGCGGGAGGAGGAGGAGGAGTAGGAGGAGGAGGAGGGGGATGAGGAGGAGGAGGAGGAAACGGAGGAGGAGGAGGAGGAGGAGGAGGAACAATAATGATACAATTAATAAGAAGACACATAATAATAAGATTACTACTAAGAAGAAGACTGCGAATAAGAATAATAATATTAACAAGAAGTCGAATACTACTACTACTAATAAGAATAGTAATGATACTAATACTCCTAATACGAATACTAAGACGGGTAATACTAATAATGCTAATAACAATACGAATGATAATACTACAAATAAGATTAAGAAAACGAAGACTAATAACACGACTCATAATAATAAGACTAACACCAACCATAATAATAATACTATTATTAATACTATTGATAATATTAATGATACTACTAATAATACTACTAATAATACTAGTAATAATAATACTATTAGCAATAATAATAATAAAGTTAATAATAATAATATTATACATAAAATTATTATTAATAATACTAATAATGATAATAATAATGCTACTACTAATAATGATGATGATAATAATAATACTAATATTAATATTAATAATACTACTAATAATACTATTACCAATAATAATAATACTAATAATAAAAAATAATAATGGTAATACTAATAATATTACTAATAATATTAATATTGATACTATTAATAATAATAATAATAACAATAATAATAATGATGATGATACTAATACTAATAATAATAAAAAATGGTAATACTAATACTATTACTATTACTAATACTAATACTAATACTAATACTAATACTAATACTAATAACAATACTAATACTACTAATACTAATGATACTACTAAAACTAATAATACTACTAATACTACTAATACTACTACTAAGAATAATAATAATGATAATACTAATAATAATACTACTACTAATCATACTAATACTACTCGTAATAATAATAACATAATAATAATACTACTACTACTACTAATGATAATAATAATAATAATAATAATAATCATACTACTAATACTAATAATAATAATACTAATAATACTAATAATAATATTACAGAGAATAAAAATAATATTAAGACTAAGAATCATACTAAGAAGAATACGAATACTAATAATAATGGTACTAAGAAGAAGAGGAGGAGGACGATGAGGAGGAGGAGAGGAGGAGGAGGAGGAGGAGGAGGAGGAGGAGGAGGAGGAGGAGGAGGAGGAGGAGGAGGAGGGAGGATGGGAGCGGGAGGAGGGAGGAGGGAGGAGGGAGGAGGAGGAAGGAGGAGGGAGGAGGAGAGGAGGAGGAGGAGGAGGAGGAGGAGGAGGAGGAGGAGGAGGAGGCGAGGAGGAGGAGGTGGAGAGGAGAGGAGGAGGAGGCGAGGAAGATGAGGACGGAGGAGGAGGAGGAGGAGGGAGGAGGAGGAGGAGGAGGGAGGAGGGAGGAGGGAGGAAGGGAGGAGGGAGGAGGAGGGAGGAGGGAGGAGGGGAGGCGGGAGAGGGAGGAGGGAGGAGGGAGGGGGGCGGAGGGGGGGGGAGGGAGGAGGGAGGAGGGAGGGAGGGAGGAGGGAGGAAGAGGAGGAGGAGGAGGAGGGAGGGAGGAGGAGGAGGGAGGAGGGAGAGAGGAAGAGGAGGAATATGGGGAAGAGGAGGAGGAGGCGGAGGAGGCGGAAGGGGCGGAGGAGGAGGAGGAGGAAGAGGAGGAAAAGGAGGAGGGAGGAGGGAGGGGGAGGAGGAGGAGGAGGGAGGAGGAGGAGGAGGAGGCGGAGGAGGCGGAGGAGGAAGAGGAGGAGGAGGAGGCGGGGAGGACGAGGAGGAGGAGGAGGAGGAGGAGGAGGACAAGGCGGAGGAGGCGGAGGAGGAGGAGGAGGAGAGGAGGAGGAGGAGGAGGAGGAGGGAGGAGGAGGAGGTGGGAGGAAGATGAGGAAGACAGGACTATGACGACGAGGGAGGAGGAGGAGCAGGGGAAAGAGAGCAGATACGCGGCGGCGGGTTTGGCCCGATGCCATTCTACACGTATACACATGCGTACACATATGCATACATGTATACGTTCTGGCAGTGGCGTGGTGCATTGTAGGTATGGACTGGGCATCACGCAATAACATGTGACAGTAATGGCCCTTGCATCCCTCACTGGGATGTTCGCAACTTCTGATGCGAGTTCCATGGGCGCGGCTAGAACCTAAGCGCGCGCGAAGCGCGCGCGTGGTTCTAGTACGTCTATATATGTATATATATATATATATATATAACCAGGACAGTTGGACCAACACCTGCACGGGGCTCGACCCCAAGGGGAAGGGAATCACTCCGTTGCCTGACATTTTCAGCGTGCAGATGTTCACGCAGCGGGCGGACGTGCTCGAGCATCTCTGCCTGTCTGTCTGTCTGTCTGTCTGTCTGTCTGTCTGTCTGTCTCTCTGTCTGTTTGTCTGCCTGTCTGTCTGTCTGTCTGTCTGTCAGTCAGTCTGTCTGTCTGTCTGCCTGTCTGTCTGTCTCACTCTCTCTCTCTCTCTCCCTCTCTCTCTCATCGGGTATCCTCTTTTCCCCTCCTCTTCACTCCCTGCTTCTCCTCTCCCCTGCTCCTCCCCCCCCTCATCCTCGTCTTTCTCGTCGTCGTCGTCGTCGTCGCAGCCCTCGTCGTCGTCACCGCCTTGGTATCGTCGTCATCGTCGTCGTCGTCGGCGCTGCCGGCGGCGGCGTCGGCGCTGGCGGCGGTCGGCCTTAGCATCGCCGCGCCTGCGCGCGGCCGCGGTGCAGTCGAACCCCAACCGGTCCGCTACGTCGCGGAGCCTCAACCGCGTGCTGTCGACGCCCGTGGTTGCAAAGTGCGACTACCTGTAGGCCGGGCCTGCCGCCGGCGGGAGGGGTGGGAGCAACAGGAGGAGGATTAGATTGAGAAGGAGGAGGAGGAGGAGGAGGAGGAGGAGGAAGAGGAGGAGGAGAAGGAGGAGGGATTGGACGAAGAGAGGGAGGAGAAGGAAGGAGGGGGAAGGAAGAAGAGGGGGAGTATGAGTAGGAGGAGGGGCGAGAGGAGGAGGTGGCGGAGGACGGAGATAAGGATGTCGATGCTGCTGCTGCTGCTGATGATGATAGTGGTGGTGGTGGTGATGGTGATGGTGAGGTGATGACGATGGTGATGATGATGATGACGATGATGATGACGATGATGATGACGATGATGATGATGATGATGATGATGATGATGATGATGATGATGATGATGATGATGATGATGATGATGATGATGATGATGATGACGCTGCTGATGATGCTGATGTGGGATATGATGATTATGATGATGGTGATGGTGATTGTGGCGGGGGTGATGCTGATAGCGACGCTGGTGATATTGATGCAAGTGCTGCTGCTTGTGCTGCATCTGCAGATGATGCTGACGATGAGGAGGAGGAGGAGGAAGAGTACAACATGTAGGTGGCATGTGTGTGTAAGTGTGTAAGTGTGTAAGTTTGTGTCAGAGAGTGTGTGTGAGAGAGGGGATGCTGGTGTTGAAGTACTGTGTAGCATGTGGGAGTGTAGAGCCATGCATGCCCGAAGGCGGGTGCACTGCAGGAAATCTATAAATTAGACAGCGTAGCAGGGAAGCTAGTGAGACTGGTACGGTACATATTTAAGATCTTTGATGTGTACCTCACTGTGCGCTCACACTCCGCAGCATCACGAAAGGCATCATGGTAGCGGAGCTGGCCGAGGCCAGCTTCAGCTAGCGCCCCGCAGCGGCACTGTCTCCCCCGCGTGCGCGTAGCGGCGCCATCGCGGGGAATGCACGGCGGACCATGCAACGGCAGAGGCGGGCAAGGCGAAACCCGCCAGGAGGGGTTCGGGCAAAGACGGGTTGCCAAGGGCGCTTGGAAAGTAGCCGGGCGGAGTTAGCAGAGAAATCGCAGCAATGGCGGCAGGCGCCGAGTGGCAGGGAGGCGGCCTGAAGCCGCCTACCATCGACGGACTCGAGGAGCACTGGCGGAAGTGTTGTCCTTCGCTATGAGAGGCTTCCTCGGAGGGCAGACGCAGGTATCCCAATGCCTGCGGTGGGTGGCTGAGATTTCAGAATCAAGCCTGACTTCTTGGCAGAGCACAACCATAATTCGCAGGACGACGAGGGTACCGCGGCAAACCGTAGTGTGTTCTTGGTCGA